CCAAAGTAACATCTCTTGAATTGGGTAGTTCGTGAAAAATATTAAATGTTAGTATTTGTGTATATTCATGCGAGTATTAGTCGGCCTAAAGGAAGAGTAATATTTGGCCGAATTGCATATACACTTGTAATGATAAACATGTGATAATTATAAAGATTTGCTTTGTCGATGATAAATCAATCCAAAGACTGGTTTGTTGTTGGACGTGTTTTATTGTCAATGTTTGATTATTACAACAAGATACCTCTAGCAGTTAATATTACTGTCCAAAGACTTGATATTGATGGTGCATTGGGTGTCTTGAGATGAGTTAAACCATTATTTGAATATATATTTTATTTATAATTATTTTTTTTTTATAATGTGAGCATAATTAATTTATTTCTCTTGTTTTTAATTTAGCTACAATTGTTTCTGTATCTGTCAATTTAAATTATGTTCCGATCCTCAAAAGTATTTTTCCTACTTTGGTCTGTTCTGAAGTCAATTTAGCGTCAGTACCTAGTAACACTTGGTGGTTAGACTCAGGTGCAACTACTAACATCAGTGTTTCTATAAAGGGTTGCCTAAGCTACCGGAAGCCAATTGATTCTGAAAGATGAATATATGTTGGAGATGACAAATCGGTAGAGGTGGAAGCTATAGGGCATTTTAAATTGTTATTGAGTATTGGTTTTTATTTGGATTTGAAAGACACTTTTGTTGTGTCGTCATTTAGACGGAATTTGGTTTCAATTTCTTATCTGGACAAATTAGGTTATTTGTGTTCATTTGGAAATAATAAGTTCAGTTTGTCTTTTAATTCAGATATTATTGGAACTGGTTCACTTTTGCCTTATGATAATCTGTATTTACTTGATACTGTGACCACCTATAATGAAACCCTTAATACAGAATCACGGGGTACTAAACGTAAAATTGATGATACTCACTCAGGGGCATTATGGCACAGGCGCTTAGGTCACATCTCTAAAAATAGAGTTGAACGACTTGTGTTAAATGGAATCTTAGAGTCCATTGACTTCACAAACTTTGATGTTTGTGTTGAATGCATTAAGGGCAAACAGACCAAAGCGAAGAGATTATGTGCATATAGAGCTACAGACGTCTTAGAGTTGATACATACGGACATTTGTGGGCCATTTCCTACACCTTCGTGGAATGGTCAACAATAATTTATATCATTCATAGACGAGTACTCACGATATGCATACTTATTCCTTATACATGAAAAGTCACAATCTCTAGACGTGTTCAAAACATTTAAAGCTGAAGTTGAAAATCAACTCAATAAAAGAATTAAGTTTGTCAGATCTGATCGTGGTGGTGAGTACTATGGTAGATTTGACGGGTCAGGTGAACAGCGTCCAAGACCTTTTGCCAGGTACCTAGAGGAGTGTGGAATTGTCCCACAGTATACCATGCCGGGATCACCTAGCATGAATGGTATAGCTGAAAGACGAAATCGAACTCTTAAAGATATGGTCAGGAGTATGATTTGTCATTCCACCTTACCAGAGTCACTCTGGGGAGAGGCGCTAAAGACGGCAGTTTATATTCTAAACAGAGTACCAACTAAAGCAACTACCAAAACACCTTATGAACTTTGGACTGGGCGACAACCTAGTCTGAAGCATTTCCATGTGTGGGGATGTCCAGCTGAGGCAAGGCCTTATAAGCCAAATGAAAAGAAATTGAACTCCCGAACAGTAAGTAGTTATTTTATTGGTTATGCTGAAAGATCCAGGGGGTATAAATTTTATGATCCCACATTAAAGACAATTTTTGAGACGGGAACTGCTACGTTCTTTGAGGATATTGAGTTTGGGGGGAAGAATAAGATTAAGAATTTTGTATTGGAGGAAGAATCGACAATAAATCCAGAACCGATTCAAACAGTTACTTTTGATAAAGTAAGTTTGGAACCTCCACAAGACATTGATGATAAACCCCATATTCAAGATGATTTGATTGTTCGTCAAGACCAAACTCAAGATCCTCAAGAACATGTGTGTCATGAGCCGGGGATACTCCAGTTACTAAGGGAGACAAGTTTAGTCTAAATTAGTGCCCAAAGGGGAATTTGGAAATTGAGGAAATGCAAAAGATTCCCTATGCATCAGCTGTAGGGAGTTTGATGTATGCCCAAGTATGTACGCGTCCAGACATAGCATATATAGTTGGGGTTCTAGGCAGATATTTAAGCAATCCAGGAATGGACCATTGGAAAGCAGCAAAAAGGGTCATGAGATATTTAAAGAGAATAAAAGATTACATGCTCACATACAGGAGGTCGACCAGCTTGGAGATCGTCGGGTTTTCTCGACTCGGACTTTGCAGGATGTCAAGATAGTTTGAAATCCACTTCAGAGTTACATTTTCATGTTAGCAGGTGGTGCAGTTTCTTGGCGCAGTGTTAAGCAAACCCTTACAGCCTTCATCCACTATGGCAACAGAATTTGTAGCATGCTATGAGGCATCGAATCATGGAATATGGCTGAGAAATTTTGTCACAGGGCTGCAAATTGTGAAAGGCATTGAAAGACCACTTAAATTATATTGTGACAACAAATCAGCTGTATTGTATTCCAACAACAACAGAAGTTCGACTAAGTCAAAGCACATCGACATTAAGTTTCTAGTTGTTAAGAAAAGAGTACAAAGTGGACAGATTTCCATAGAACATTTAGGGACAAACTCCATGATAGCAGATCCTCTAACTAAAGGACTTCTGCCCAAGGTCTTTCATGAACATGTTGCTCACATGGGTGTTTTACAGTTTGAGGAATTTGTGGTTTAGTGGGAGTTAGTCATTTTCATATATTTTATGTTCTATGTTTAATTTTATATATGTATACATTGATTTTTTGGACATATTTGGTTATCTATAGATATGCGGTTTTTGTTCATTCATTACACTTTGTACATTAAGGTTATTATATCAATCTCGATAAGTTAAAGTTTGGACCAGTTGAAAATAGACATGTACAGATCACTTTCACGTAATTTTTCATGCTACACATTTCATGATGAATCCATGTCATTTGGTTATGTCAGGATGAGTAATCATTGTTGGTTTTAGTTGCGATGATGCAATGAAAAACTGGTTTGGTTCTATATCCTGATATGATTAATGGACAGGACTTTTGGAATATGCTAAAGGAATATAATGGCAATTTTGAGCTCATAAAGTCTAACACATTTGTAAGGTTGTAAGGACATATATATTTGTGACCAGTGGGAGATTGTTGGCAAAATTTGGGTCATGTATATATATGATACATATTTAAATGTGTTAGGGTCATTATTTATTAAGCCAAATAATAAAGTGATCTGACTAAATTAAAAAGGTTTGGCTAAAGGCATATGTCATGAAAATAAAATTGTGTTGAAACCATAGAATAATTTCTAATTTGATGAGGGGCCAAATTGGAAATACTAAAACTTAAGTAATTAAGTGATCTGACTAAATTAAAAAGGTTTGGCTAAAGGCATATGTCATGAAAATAAAATTGTGTTGAAACCATAGAATAATTTCTAATTTGATGAGGGGTCAAATTGGAAATACTAAAACTTAAGTAATTAACCTAATTTTGGTTATTTTAAGGGGTCATGGTCCCCTTCTAGGAGCACATAGACAGAACGTAGTTACAGTCCCGTTCTTTTCTTTCTATCCCTATCAAGAGAGAAAATCAAGAGGGAAATACAGGTGTTCTTCAGGTGGAAGACCATAAGATCAAATCAAAAGTGTTTTACAAAGAATATCATCATTATTACTAATTCAGGTACACTTTCGTATTTAGTTTATATCATATTTACAGTATGGGATTATATATATGTTTGATCATTAGAATGAAGATCATATTCAATTACAGTTTAACCTAACATTTTTCACCAATTTAATTGAGACTGCAGGTTGCCACATATGATTTCCTGTATGTCTCACGATAACTGTCATGTATCATGTCTTTATAGCATATAATAAAAGGAAGGAGCAGAGCAAAGAAAAACATGTCAAAAAAGAAACACAGCAAAACGGTGCAAGGGTGCTGCCAAACTCAGCACAATTTTATGTCTCGAACTGCCAATATATCATCAGAAATTATAAAAGTTACAATAAACCGGAAAATGCTAAAGTTTTCATTTGAAAGACAAATAGATATTTGTGGAAAGGGTATGCAGTTCCTTGAACAGAGTATATACCTTACCATTATACTGTCTTAGATGTGTTAACTTCTTTAACACAACTGAGCATTGATGACGACAATAAAATGGCATGTTATTGGTGGTAACTTTGGACTAAAAAAGAGTTTTTGGTGTCCCAGAAGAGATATGTCTCCAAGTGCTTAGTCAGATATGACGGAAACAAGAATACTGTTCCACAAAAGTTTTCCCTGATAGCATTGAAAAAAGTTGCTTCTTTTGGTTCCATTTGTGCTTCTAAAAGTAAATTTAGCAATGATAAGTGTGTAACTGTAGCTATTTGTGACTAGTTGTATTGATTGAGATAGAGATGTCTTGTGAGCATAACCATCCTGGTTCTCGGTCGTAAACATGGAAACCCACCATTTGTTTCAATATATATATATATATATATATATATATATATATATATATATATATATATATATATATATATATATCAGTCACCGTTATCAACTAATATAAAATGGTAATGCTACAAATTTTATCAGCATAAGAATATAGCAAGCTGTCAATGATCTTATTGTGAAATCATTTAATTTTGTATTGGAGACAAAGGATAACTTTCGGGAACAAGTACAATATTTGTAGACCAAAATACTGTACATACCTAAACATTTTATAAAAGAATTGTTATACAGTAATCCGCATGACTATGATATGAAACTTCACAGTCTAATTTATGGAACAGTGACCTAAAAAACAATGATAAGGGATACATGGCCCTGGCAATCAACATAAACGTCTGTCATAAATATATTTCTACCCCAACTACCATATTTCCTGTCTGCATATAATCAATGCCATGCTGAAGCTGAAACCAAATTTCTGTCCTTCCATCCCAACAACATGGCCCCATCCTTCTCCACAAGATTATAATGTTCTGAATAGCACCTAAGCAGTCTTCTTATGACAGAATTCACGTAAGTACTCAAAGGATATTGAGAAAAGCCAGCCATTGTCAACCTAGACTTCCACTTGCCTAACAGTTCGTGTCGCTCTACCCTTTCCTTCCCTTCACAAGAAATAACATTGACAATATCCCGTGCCAGACAATGTTGCTCCACATTAATCCGATCCTTGCTCTTTCTTGGAAGAGACACATCAATGGATTCAAAAATTGCCAAGTAGTAATCCAATGTTTCTATAAACCTGTTGAAGAAAGGGGTGGTATTTGTGTTCGACTCTTGCTCAACCAACGTAGTTACCTTGGGAGAAAGTGATTTCACCAATCTCAAAAGCCCATCCCTTGGATTACTCATATCGACACTCTCATCAGGCGTGTGATGGAGTTGCAAAGGGAAATTCACGGCCAAAGCCTCACCAGGCCTAACATCAAGCATGTCTTTTGTCACATCTGGAGCTAAAACATGCACACTGTGGAACTCAACTGGGATGTTAAATGTCTGAGATATTTCAGCCAACCTTTTTCCAACAGCTTCCAATCCGTCACCACGAACATATTTAGAAAGGGGGTCATCAATCCCTGTGATCCGCACATGAGGAGCTCCACCAGGTCTTGCTGCAAGAGCTTGAAGAAGTGTCATCCATTGAATCCCCTGACCTATCTGAAAGTCTACGATATGAATGTGGTCCTCATTTCTACAAGCTTCAGCAATAGCACCATTGGCAGCCATGTAACCAAATTTTAAGTAGGGGCATATTTCATACAGTAACTGCATGTAAGAGAGCAAGTCTTTTCCCTCAGGCTCACTGCATCTAAGGGCATGGTAAATGTTATTCCCTGATGCCTCCTTCCTTGCAACAAGCCCTTCCACCAAATAAGCACCAAGGCGCTGGATTGGCTCCCCAGTTATAGACACAACAGTTCTAGCCTTTTCTATCAATTGATCAAAATCTTTCATGTTGTTTTCGGACAAGGCTTTGGCGGATACAATCAGCAATTGTTTCAAATTGGTTAACGGGAATTCTTGTAGCAATACTTCCTCTGTTGATTTGTGATGCTTATCTACACGTGCAACATCACTTGGCTGACCCTCATGGCTCCAGGACCTATTTCTCTGGCCATATGTTGTATGCCTTCTGCTCACACCCAAAGAAGTACTTGATGTGGTGACTTGATCATCACCATCAGGTGCCATCAAAGAAGTTTCTAATTCCAGCAATGCATACCTGGTTTCATGGTCATAACTTATATCCTGCGGAAGAAAGGACCTAGTAGATAGTTTCAAACCGTCCTGGAGATGGTCCACAGATGAGACTGGCCTATGCAAATAATGATCCTGCAAAGAGCTTACACCAGAGTGAATTTCCCCAGAGGTGTGTTGTTCTTGGCTGTCACTTAGCGCAGAGGAAAGAGCATCAGAATCAAAATGAGTAGAAAGGGCCGAATTAGGTGAGTATCCTATGTCGTGTTTCAAGGATCCAAGCAACCGGTTGGGTATTGGTGAAGTAGGTGTATAAGATGATGTGCTAGGGATTCCTGCTGAACTAGTCACGCTGACACTTAAAAACTGATTCAATTCCATACTATGACAATGGCATCAGCTAAAAGCAGCTGCCTTGGCAACTCTGCTCCAGACTACTATACCAACACTTTCAATAATAGCAGATAAACCTTGAAAACAGAGAAGCAATAGTCAATATTCGCATAAACACCACAATAAAACAAATTAGTGTTCACAACAACAATCTTATACTAGCCTAACAAGTTGAGAAGCGGGAAGAAGCATCGCACATAAATACTCACACATATACATACAAGAAATAGATGAACTTGCATACACTAAAAAATATAATAAGCTGATTAGCACTTGTAAAGCTACAATTCTGGTATTTTTTTATTGAATTCCTAGCTACTCTCTTGACCCACAGGAACAAATAGCAGAAATTTGAAATAGCTGATTTAGCAGGTTGAAAAGGAAAATTAGAGCCAATATCAGATAAATGAAAATAATGAGTTTGAAGCCAAAATTAAACGGGGAAAGTGATCAAAATGATTCCTTGAATACCACCATTTTGGAGTGGTAGTGCTCTTGGTCTCACCAACAGATGATCATCAATAGGAAATAAGGCAACTGTGCATTTTACTGAGTAAAGCAAAAAAAAAAAAAGACAGCGATAGAAAATTGGACACCATTAGCATATATATTCTAAAGGATGCAATTCCAAAACCCCTCCCATGTGGTTCAGAAAAACATATAGAAAAGCATCAAGAAAAAATATGTTCATGTACATTAATGTACACCGGGAGAAAGACTCGGACGTCACATACATAGCAAATTTCAAGTAGTAAGAGAAAGGAAGCATGTAATAACATTAATAGTAACAACAACACCATGTAAGTCACAATTCCTCATTGCAACTGATCCAAATCTTTTCTTTGCAACTGAGGAAAGCCAGTAAACTACGTAACCAAAACTAAAACCTTTTTATTTCCTGTTGATGTTATTGTGCAGTTGCCCCACTTCCTTATGCTGAGTTAATTGAAGCTGCATATAAACTTTTTCATACCATACCAATAAATGCAGAAAAATTCTTCGAAACACCGAAAAATAATATCCGTCCTAATTCAAAGTCCACTAATCCATTCCACCCAAACCATCTATTCAAACCAAATCAAAATCCAAAACTTCAACTGAGACCCAAAATTTGCAACTTTCAGCAGCAGAAATGATGTTACGGCATTCTTTCCAATCAAACAACATGCAAAATTTCATATCTTCTTTCAAATAGCAAGACCCTCAAACCACCAAGGATTAAGAATCAGTTTTATACATCTATGCAAACAAACACATAACAAAAAAAATTAAATAAAAAATACATAAACTGCACAAGCAACAACACGTGGTGATAAAGAAAACCAAATTGTCTAGGAAAGTGAAAAACGTTGGTGTAAGCACTTAGCATTACCTTGAAGACTATTAAAATTCAACACCTACCATTAGAAAAGACTTTGGTTCAATACACGTGGAGAGCTAAACTACGCTGAATTTCGCTCCCATGGATAACATATAAAATATTATGGTTTTTTGGATGTGGGACTATCGTTTGCTGGAAAACTAAGGAAACTTGGAGTAGGAGTTGTTTGGAAAACCGCAAATTGAGAACTAGAAGTGTTCAAATGGGGTATATATAGGGGAAGAAAAAGGAGGGTAAAAAGTGTTGGAAGTTTGACGGAGAAGAAACGGTAACGGCGGGAGACATTCGTGGGAATTACTGCGATTCTGTAACGACGTTAAGTGGTTGACTGAACTGTTGAAAACGCCGACCAAAGCACACGTTGCGAACTTGGTTTTCGAACATTCCTGACTGCATAGCTGGCTGTCTTCCGCTTTCTTAGCAAGTGCACTCAACCTCTTTTATGTTTTGTTTGTACTAATGAAAATTAAAAAAAAAAAGTAATATCAAAAGTTATTTTTAAGAGAATTTTATACTTAAATAATATATTTTAAAAAAATTATACAAATAGATTTCTTATTACTATTTATTATTTATATACAGAATTCAAGAACAATATATAAGACGGTAGGTGAAAGAAGAATAATTTATATTTTTTTCTTTTGTTAAAACATATTTTTAATAATTGAAATATAAACAGTAAATCGGTACCGTTGAATAAATAAATTTACAAGACTTATATTTAAATAATTTTTAAAAAAATATATTATTATAAAAGTAAAAGAAAATATCAATAATATTTTTATATTAAAACTAAACCATAAAATTAATTTTCAGTATTTGTTTAAGCAAAGAATTAGGAAATATTTTTTATTACGATATGAAACGGGAAAATAGAGGATATTTTTTCCCTTTTTAGTAAAACTAATGTTTAATAGTGGAAACCCTACGCTACGCCTGTGTATATAATTTTTCATGATTATAAACAAATATTATAACATTAAAAATAAAATAATAATTTTATAAAAACAATTAGAATCTATAAATTTAAAAAAGTATAACAACAGTTATCAAAATATTAAAAATAAAATTATAATTTAAAATAAAATAAAATATACATATATATTTTAAAGGATAATATTATATTTTTTACTTAATTTTTATATAATTTAATTTTTACTCTATCCAATTAAACGGACACAATTTTGGTTATTCTTTTCTTTTTTTTATATATAATCAAATAACACAATTCTTTTTGTTTTTTACAGGTGAAAATAACACATTTGTTATAATATATGTCTTATCCCAAGAACGTCTAAAGTTTTAGTTTAGAGTGCAAACATCATGGTACATCTTAAATTATATAACAAACATATATTTTATTTACTCTTAAATCTTTGATATATATGCACAATGCTCTGGTTGGATACAATGTTTGAGAATCCGAATCACACACAACCGTGCACCGTCCTACGCTTCATAAGGTTTCCAATATTAACGTGTTCCAATAACGTCTACTGTTTGTGGTGTAAATATGGGCTGCAATGCATTAGCCAACCCGATTTACTACATATTTAAGTTAGGTTGATTTTTATTTTTATTTTTACTTTATTTCACTCATTTAACTCACAAATAGATTTGACCTTCGATACGATAAATTGACTCACCCCCTATCATTTATTTTAAATTTTAAAAAATAATTATATTAATTTAGTAATTTTAATTAATATTATTTTTGTTTCTTTGTCTTTATTATATGTTAAACTTTCATTCAAGTTCATCATTCATTATTTGTCCCACCAATGTTATTCTTCCATCACAACATTATGTAATGTGCTTATTGCATTTGTTGGACGAATATATTTCAATTACGTTAAAGTATTTATGGTATTTTAATTCTATATTTCAAATGCATCATAACATTATCATGTGAACGTCATAGTATTTCAGTTTCGTATTTCAATTGTATCACAGTGTTTGTTATATCGTCACAGCATTGTATTCATTACATCACCACATCATGTTACCGTATTTCAATTGTACCATAATGTTTGTCACATTTCAATTACATTTGTTATATCACAGTTATTAAATTTTAGTCTTGTGATTCAGTCATATTTATTATAAAAAAATATGGATTAGTAAGTCAGCTTAACTAAACTCATCAATCCATCTTTGTGAACCTAACTCGTCATCTTTATATTTTTCGGTTAATTTGATTTATATGTAATAAATATTATGGAATTTTCATGCATTTTATTTAATTTTTTAATTTGTTTGAATGGAATATTTCATCCATATTTATATATCTATTCGATAGGTTTTAAAGCATTTATATCTATTTAATCAAAGATACTAAAATAAAAGTCTTAAAATAATGAATTTAAATTGTTCCAAATGTACGAAAAGTTGATTTAAAGATTCCATTTATTTTTACTTTTAACTCTCTTTAATTTATATAGCAAAAGATATTGATAATTTGATTTTTTATTTTCAGTCAATTAATGCCTTGTTTTAAAAACTAAACAAATATTTTTATCGCATATTATTATTTAAATTTTTTAAATTATAGTTTATTCCAAATATTAAGAAATCACAATTAATTTATATATTAAATATTGTACAAGCTTAGAACAAAAAATGGTAAAATCTAATTTTGAGGAGAATAATATGTAAGAAATGAGATTAAGATTTTCGAGGGAAAAAAAGTTTTTATTTTAATTTTGGATGACATTCAATGTTTTTGCTAAGGCTTACATTCACTTTTCATAAAAAAAAAAAAATTCATAAACAAGATGTAATTGACTCTCTGTAAAAAATTTAAACACACAAATTTTTAAAAATTAAGCAATTTTAATCTCTTGTTATATATATGTCTGCCAATTACTAAAAATGTTGCAATGTTGATGCGTGGAACATAAAAAATCATTGCTAGTCCCACGAAAGAAGTCTAGTCACCCTTGTAATCAAAGTTTCAACTTCATTCAAACTCCTTTCTGCCAAAGCAATCTCAAAAACATAGAGGATTTCTCCATCTCACATAAAGAAAAGTATACAATGTTATCTTATTTATATGATAAATATGTACAATATTTTTTTTCCTTCTTTTTATTTATCCCACTGTTGTTTATTATTAGAAATATTTGTTATGGTTAGATAGAGAGAATTTATAAATTAAACGAATATCAGAGTGTTAATGAGAAAATCGATAAAGGGATCGAAAAACGAAGGAAAGAAAAAATCGAAAACCGTACGGTTGATATCGAGAATGCATTTTCGATGAAATTGGTAAAAGTTGGTAACCACAAAGATAAAAGTACATCGAGAATCAAAATCGAGAATCAAAGAAACAACTTTCGATGCTTATTGTCGAAGTTAGAATAGTACAAAATTAAAGGAAATCAATAGCAAAATTTTGAATACTCGATGTCTGAAATCGAAATCGAGAGAGCGGTTAACACAGGGAACGTGGGAAACAGTTTTTAAACCGCGACAGAATTTGAAGGAGGAGCAGTTCCCTTATACGTAAAAACGTGGAGTGTAGTTTTAAAACGGTAAGACTAAAGGAACGGGCACGTAAGATCGTGGTGATAGTGGTATTAACCACTCTTGGGAGGTCACTTGAAGG